CCGGTACCCAATCCTACAGAGCCTGGTAGTAGACTATAGCCTGGCGATATATGAAATCTGCGGACAACTCAGTTCACTACTGCTCCCAGGGACTGAGGTCGTTGGACAAATTACCTTACTGGCTCTGCTGCTCAACATTTCTGACCGCCGTGCCAGATGACGAAAGTAAAGTGCCAGCACCCACCGCGCCCGTTGAGCTGATTGAAGCCAACAGAGTGGTAATGATAGCGAACGCGACGTCCCCTCACCCCTGTTAAGGAAACTGGAAAGCATCTCGTCATGGTGCAGACTGATTCGTTCCGTCGCTTGGTGGATAAGGTGCAAACAGATGGTGATGATCAAAACCTGGATTTCGGCCTGACGAATCATTGCATGTGGGACCTCTATCGACGGACGACCTAATGAGAGCTGAGAGCAACGTCATGAAATTAGTACAACAACAGCATTTTCTCCTCGAAACGACGGCGTTGAAAGCGAATGCAGCGAAGAATCCAAAACGGACGGCAATCCAACGGAGCGCTTTGCGAAAACTGAATCCCATACTGATAGAAAGGTTGCTACTCGTGGGAGGGAGATTGGATAACTCCTCCTTGGCATTTGACGCTAGACACGTCACCACCTTGCTTATAGGCCACCTCCACGTCAAAAACGGGCATGTGATAACTAACCATCTACTGAACAGCATTTGGGAGAGATGTTGGATAACATGCGGTAGGACCGCAATAAAAGGGATAATCGGTAGATGTATGTTTTGTCGCCGTTAAAATGCGGTAACCGGAGGACAAATGATGGCACTCCTACCCGAATTCAAGGTTCTAACGGGGGGGGGGTTGCCGTTCGCGGAGACAGGAGTAGATTATTTCGGTCCTTTGGTAGTGAAGTGTGGGCGATCGGTGACGAAGCGGTACGGGTGCCTGTTTATCTGCATGCAGTCTCGCGCGGTGCATTTAGAGATGGTGCACAGTATGCCTAATGAATTGTTCCTGATGGCGCTTCAAAGGCTGATCAGCAGGTGCGGAGTCCCGAACAACACCTACTCCGACAACGGTTCATATTTCGTGGGCGCGTCTAACGAGCTGCAAAGTTGGCTGTCCCGTGTTGACCATGGCGAACTAATTAAGCGACTGATCTCCAAAAATATCCGTTGGCATTTCAACACGCCATATGAGGGTGGGATTTGATAACCTATGATAAGGTCGGTGAGAAGGATCATATTGGCGCTGTGCAATCAACAGCAGATCGACAATAAAACACTCAGCATGGCCTTGATCGGAGTGGCGCAAATATTGAACAATAGACCTTTGACACCAGTCGCGAGGGAAGCCCTGGGACTCGCACTTACGCCAAACGACTTGATTCATTTGAGATAAAATTACGGGCTGGCAGTAAAAAGAACAATCACAGAATATTACTCGAGCAGTTGGAAGCAGGCCACCTACTTGGTTGGAGTTTTGTGGAAGCGGTCGGTCCGAGGGTACTTGCCTACTCTACAGGCACGACGGAAGTGGATACACGGAGGATTAAACTTTTG